GGGGCTGACACGGCCAGGAGTGACAGAGGCACAGACGATGGGATGAAGATGGGGTCACTGAGGGGCTGCTGGGGGCAGCCAGTGGACACACGGAGGACAATGGGAGAGACAGACGTCAATGGGGCTGGGGTGCTGGTGCAGTGAGAGCACGAAGGACCGTGGGATGGATGGGGATGGGACACGGAGAAGATAAATGACATTGTAATTTCCACCTGAGCGTCGAGCAGCCTCTTCTTGGGCTCGGGCAGCGGCTCAGCCATGGTGGGGTGGTCCCGGCGCAGCTCCTCCTCCACCAGCATCAGCCTGAAGGGACGGGCTTCAGTGGGGTTAGTGGCGGGCACTACCTGCCCAGGGAACTCCTGACCCGGGCGCCATGCAGCTCTCGAGCACCCTCCGCCCCTGCCCCAGAATCCCTCCACTGTCCGCTACTCACCCTCCCCTCAGGGATCCTCACATCCCCCTAAGGACAGCTTTCTGAGCATCTACCATCCACATACGCCAGGCCGTCCGCTCCCATTCAGGGCACCGCCCTCCCAGGCCCCCGGTGGCTGAAGATCTGGCTCTCATGTCCCCCATTCCACCTCCTGTGTAGCCCCTGATGCCCCTCACCCAAGAGGTCCTCTACAATCATTGTTATCCCAGCATCTCTCTGTCTTTGGTAAAGACCCTCAAGGTGAGTTCTCATAACGGACAGCAATTAGAGCAGTGGTTTTCAAAAGTTTCCAATGAAGCCTCGTTCTTCTAATTAATGTTACTCAAAAACACTTTAAGAATGAATCAAAATGGAGCCGGCTCTGAATGGAGTGAGGCCCGGGTCCCTCCCAGTTCTAGGATAACTGAGCCCCGTGCTGGGACACCTCCGCTGGAGCCCAGGGCTGCACAGAGCAGCTAGGAATGTGCAGACTTTATAAAAGGGGCATCCTTTTTCACCGAACACCCTTCCAAGCCTGGGCCCAGGACGGGATGGTCAGCGGCTGCTCTGGACAAGGATCCCTGACTGGGTCTGAGGTGAACAGCATGGCCTGGGTTGAAAGTCACACAGTGGCGGTTGGACAGTAACAGGCACACGTTCCGAGGGCTTCAGAAGGTCCTCCACCGGGGACTGACTACACTAAGCAAGGGGTTTCTCCCCTCTGGAGGGTGAGTGTAGGTTGGGCTTTCCTCACAGTGTCCAGAGTTGGGGTCGGGGCTCTCTTCAACCTCAAGCTCTCCCTTGCTACCCCTCCCCGGGCCGCCCCTCACCTGCCAATGATGCTCTTGATCTGCGAATCCTTCTCCACCTGCTGCTGCCTCAGCCTCTTCTCGCTCTGCTCCAGCCGGGCCTGATACTGCATCAGGATTTTGCTGGTCTGCTCTTCCTGGGACAGCAGCCTCCGCTCATACTCCTCCAGCTTCCGGTTGGACATGTGCAGCCGCTCCTTCAGGGAGTGGATCTCCTCCTCGTACTCCTTCACCTGCCCGCCGGGCACACGACCCCGCACTGTGAGAGGCGCCCTGCCCTCACCTGCCCCCCCGCCCCAGCCCTGCCTGCCAAGAACAGCTGCTGCCAGGGTGAGGATGACGTCCCAACCACCTCCTCCAGCCCTTTCCCTGGCGTCTGATCGTACGTACACACCCACTTTTTTGAAGACCCCACCAGGGAGCTGAAGATCCCTTACGATGGAGCATGGTCACAGACCCCACACCCTGAGGGGTATATACATGCCCTCACATGTGCAACTGGACACATGAGGCCCCACTCAGGAACCTACACAGACTCACGGACACAACCAGAATTTAAAGCTAAGGGGACTCCTCAGCCTTACCCCAGGCCACAGAGCCTGGGGAAGACCGGGAAGGAGAGACACTGGCTGGGGAGAGGAAGGCTGCACCCTGGGGCAGAGGTCTGGGCCTCAGGGGAGTCCGGGCTGAGAAGCTCCGAATGCCTCTCTGCTGATAATGAAGTGGGATTCCGAGGCTGGAAGGGCTCAGAAGAGTCATTCTGTCTGCCCTACCGGCTCTAAAGCCTGGAGCTGTGCTGTCCAATACAGTAACTACTAACCACGCGCAGCTACTGAAAAATTAAATAAAAATTAAAACATCATTTCCCAACTGCACCAGCCATGTGGCCCATGGCCACCATATTGGACAGTGGGGACCACAGAACCTTCCACCACCACAGAAAACTCTACTGGACAGTTCCAGGCGAGAGAGAGCCTCCTCCACAGGCTCCTCACCCGAACCGCCAACAGAAACACTGATCTGAGAGACGGTCCTCTCGTCCTCCGAAGAGCGCACACAGCAGGCGTCCTGGGTGAGGAGGGATGCTCACCCCCTGCCAGCAGGGCCATTCTCTCCTGGGGCTTGCTAACCAAGTCCACCCAAGTCGGTCCCAACATTTCCTCCGTCAAACCCCAATTCCCCCAAGAAACCTCTCTCTACTCCCCAAGTTGGAGCCATGCACTCTCTCCTTATCGCCTAACCCTGCAGCCACGCTCTCCTTCAAGGTTCTTGGAGCAATGGCTTCACCAGGGAGCGTGCTGCTAAGCCACTGTGTGCTGAGCTCTGGCTGTCTTTTGCTCTGGGCCACCGCCAGGTGGGAGTCTGGATGGCCTTTTCCCACATGGGCCGATACACACTACTGTACACCACCAACCCTCTGCCACCTCTGCCCATGGGGCAGTGACTGGGCAAAGCGGCCGTCGCTTATAGTGCATATCACCCCTCTACCCCGCCCAACTGACCAGCTGGCTGCTAGTAAAGTGACTTTCCCAATCCTGAGCGGCCACAGGAGCCCGGACTATGTTCTCCCGGGGAAGAGCATGGGGGGCGCCTGCCAGAGCCTGTTCCTCCCAGACGGGCTATGATGTGTATAACCCACAAAACAGTAGGCACTGAATTCTCAACAGAGAATTTTATCTGCTCTCCCCTAACAGACCGAAGGCTTCTCAAGACAGGGGGTCAAGTCTTTTCCTTTCCTTCCCACCATAACTACCTGATCCTGGCTGTTGCCCTCGGCAATGCCAAGGGCAGGGCAGGGCTTGGGGCTGGCGTACCCTGTCCAGTCGACTCTCATCCATCGACTTGGAGTACTCCTTGAGCTTGTACTCCTCCCGCTCGATGTGGGCACTCTCGATGTCAGCCGACAGGTGAGGCATGTTGGAGACCCAGGCCACCGTCCGCTCAGAGGCTGGCATTGTGGGGTTCAGCGTGGATGGCGTCTGAGAATGCTGGGACAGGGCAGGTGGGGCACAGAGAGGGAGGGTGGGAGAAGGCAGGGTGCATTTAGAGAGAGCACTGCCAGGAGACGGGCCCCAGCCCTGTTCCCCTGCTCGAGCTCTGACCACCTGTGAATGCTAGGCAAGCTCTCGCGCCTCCCGGGTGCGAGCTCCCTGCGGGCAGGGCCCTTTGTCTGCCGCTCACTGCCAAGTCACAGCGCCCAGAGCAGCACACGGCACACAGCAGGCTCTCCCACACACTTGTGTCACGAGTGGAAGGAGGTGAGAAAATTGCAAGTTCAGACCACAAACTCTAATCTACCTCTACCTCCCCCACCCGTTTCCTTCTTCCCCCCTGCCTTCCTCCCAGCCTCACCTACCTGCTTGGTGATGGAGGGCTTGAGCCCCCCACCCCCTCCGCCACCGCTGCCCCCGCTGCCCCCAATGCTGCCCTCCTTGCTGAGGCTCTGTTGCCGTGGACGGGCAGGGCCGTAGCTCGGCTCCGGCGACTGCGGCGACTG